GTGAGTGAGTGAGTGAGTGAGTGAGTGAGAAAGAGAGTAGCTCAGTAGTCGGGGGGCGGGGCGGAGATAAAAGGTGTCAGGAGCAAGCTTCTAAACAGCAACAGACAGAAGGCTCGGCTGAGTGAAAAATATACTTCACTGCATCACTATTTTTGTTAAATAGATTTTTGTACCTTAATTGGGTTCCAAAGGCAGTTTATAAACTTGTAGCGTAGTTGAAGCGGAGTTTGATATTCTATTACATTATTGACGTCTGCAACCGGTTGCACTGTTTACGCAACGTTAGCTCTGTTAGCGCGGTAATTTAGACAATAGACTGTTGACAAAGTAACGTTAACGTTCGTTTATAAAGGTTAAAACGATGCTTGTGCAGTTGTGTCGAATAGTATGCACTTATGGGAGCTATATGGTACGTCTAAATTACTGTCTTTTGCAGACAGCAAGATATATGCTATAGGCTAGTTAACCTTAGCATAGCTTTCCGTCACTTTTTATTAACTTGAAACTCCTCAAATACATTTGGGCACCCAGAAAAAGAGTGAAAAAGACTACTGCTGAGCCATTTCTTGGTCTTTCACCAGTCAAAAGAAAAAAAAACCTTCAGGTTCTGTGTGGAAGCATTTTACAGTCAGTGGTGCTGCAGATAAAACAAAGTGATACTGTATAATGTTTACAAAAGTGAAATCAGCAGAGGCAGAGATTTTAAACATCTGTCAACATCTTCTATCCATAATCATTCATTCATTTCTTTTCGGCTAAATCCCTTTATCAATCTGGGGTTGCCACAGTGGAATGAACCACCAACTTATCCAGCATATGTTTTACGCAGTGGCTGCCCTTCCAGCTGCTGCCCAGCACTGGGAAACATCCATACACTCTCTTTCACACACATACAATAAGGACAATTTAGCTTACCCAATTCACCTGTATTGCATGTGTTTGGACTGTGGGGGAAACCGGAGCACCCGGAGGAAACCCACGCTAACATGGGGAGAACCCAGTCAGGGCTCGAACTAGCAACCTTCTTGCTGTCAGGCGACAGTGCTACTCACTGTGCCACCGCGCAACCTTCTATGTAATGTATTATCACATGCACTAAAAGCATCCTCTCCTGATACTGTCTGTGAACCCCCCACAAGCATCAATCCCCTCAATCAGCACAGCTATGCTCTACTAAATCCTCCACAAGCACCAAACCATCAACACAGCCACATTCTGCCCCAGCAAGTCAGTTTTAAACAAAAAAAAAAACAAAAAAAACAAACAAACTTTGTGTCTGTTTTGTGGCTGGCAGATGACAATAGCAGGGCTGTATCTTTTAGTATTATATAGAATACTTTTGTTCTGCCAGATCTCCCAGGCAGGTTTTATTTAGATTTATTTAGTTAATATTAGTTTTTGGAATTCTGTCCATTGGAAAGAAGTCCTTTCAGAAGAAGAACAGTTTTTCTAAGTATTTTTTATTTTTATTCTGTCTATTCAGTGTCCTTCAACAAGAACGGTGGTGGTGGGGTTTATAATATTCACAATGGTATTTTATTAGTTGTTGGTTTAACCATAGATGAGATAATGGCTTCTATGTTATTTTCTTTTCAATGACATTTCTTGTCACATGTTCAAAAACAACAACCAATATTGCATACAGTATCTATAATTTATATAATGGGTATAATTAAACAATACTTTCACTATAACGTAAATTAGAAGTGTAATAGAAAAAATATATATTTTTGCGCCATTTTGAATTTTACTCGAATACAAATACAAATACTAATACTTTTCTCCCCTCAACAAATACAAATACAAATACCGGCTGCTCCGCACACCCTAAAATATATATATTAGTGCTGTCAATAAATTAAAAATATTAACTAATTAATTGCACTTTTTTTTGAAAATTAATCGCAATTAATCATATTTAAAAGACTGAAATTTGGAATTTTGGCATGTAAAATTAATGTAAACGCAAGACAAAAACTATTTAATTTCAAAATTAAATTGTTAATTGGAACATTTGTTTAACTTGTAACACTAATTTCTTCATGTAAACAACATACCCACAATAAACCATTAGGATCCTGGCTTGACAGCCATATTTATTACAGAAATAAAAACACAGGCATGTTAATGCCATTTGAATTTCAAAACAATAAATGCCAATAAAGAAAAAAATTATATTTCCAACTTGGATTCTAAGTGGACTGCAAAAAATTGCCAAAATACAGGCATTGCAGATATGGAAAATGGAAAATTATAATAACAGTAAAGTATTGAATACAAACAATTGCACTCATTGTAAAGTTGTATTGCTGTGAATTGAGAACATTAATTATAAAATAGAAACAATTTTATTCAGTCCTCTTACATTCAGTCAGTTACTACGACAGTCCAGTCTGTTGACATTATCGGGGGACAATGTGGCCCTTTTCTTTTGAATGATGTGAGCTGAGAGTGCAACACAATCTCAAGGCAAGTCCTAACGTTTTGATTTAGTGGCTACGGACGTTTATGCAGGTTTGTTGCTAAGACACAAGTACGCTCACGCGTGCACACACACACACACACACACACAGCGTGCAGGACAGGGCAGACGGAGCGACTCCCTTCAGATTTAACACGCATGATCGCGTTCATCAAATTTGCTTAAACTAAGCATTCTAAAGTATGGCTGTATTTCACAAGGATTCTGACAAAACAACGCGAAGCAGACGCTTGCGTGTAAGGGGGAAACACGTCAAACTTAATGACACATTTGAGGGCTCATGCAGAAAGGCAGATTTGATGATGTCTTTGACAGCTCGCGACATCATGTCACTTTCTGAGTACATTTACATAAGACACCAATACTCCGATTTTAATATGCTTAAGATAATACTCTTATTTAGAGTCTACCATGTAAGCAGCGATTTTTGATATTCTTAAAGGACCACCGAGTCACGAAATGCGGAGGTTTTTCTTTCCGTTCGCCATGCGGTATCAAATTCCGTTAAAAGAAAAAGTCGAAAGTTAAAAATAAAACACCTGAAATTGCATAAAACTCTGGAGAAAACTCTGCAGATCCTGGTGATGCGACATTAATTATTTTAAACTGAATCTTGCCTTCAAAAAGAGCTTCCTTGGCCTCATCCATATGTTTTGCATGTTAAACAGATGTCGACCACAACAGGTAATAAAAAAATTGCAACTGCGTTAATTATTTCAAATTAATCGCATGCGCATACTAATTTTGACAGAGCTTATATATATATATATATCAATCATCGTCTTCCTTCTTTTTTTGTCCTCGGCTGATCACATGCCTGGAACATGCAGATATATTTTTGGTAATGCTGTGCCCTTCAGATTCACTCGACATGAATCCAATCAAACATACCGCTGGAAGTACTGATGTTGACATTATGGTTTCAGAAATCACAGATGACCTGTTGCCACCTCAGTATTTTATTGTCATGTTTTATGATCATATGCAGAAAAAAACTGTATAGTTATTTTATTTTAATTTATATAATATTTTTATTTTTGTTTTGTTATTGAATCTAGTTTAGTATTTTATTAATTTGTAAAGTATTTATTATGTTTGTGCTAAAGTCTTCAGGTCACATGATGTTTCAGAAATTAAATACTCTTTAACAAATGATCAGTCACTTCCATCATGTTGGTCAGTCCTTGGAAGCCACTGATGTCTTATCTAACACACAAAGTCTAGTTTATTAAGTTTTGTCAACAACCTGATGATCTGAATAAAGTGTTTTAAATAAGACGTACAAAATGTTAATGGCAGTCCATATCCAGAACGGCAGTTGGGAACCACTAATATAAGTCTTAAGAAACGAAATTCAAGTAATTCAAGCTTAATTCAAGTAATAATTTGAAGGCACATGTAAAAAGTAGTGTTTTGACCAAATGAGAATGGAACACCATCATTGTAGCAATTAGGACAGCACAATTCTGGCTAAAATGATTATCAAGATTTTTTTTCTCAAGATTTTGTAGATGTAAAATAAAGGTTAATATGAGTAGGCTATTATCACTTTTATTTCTAAAACATATGGTAAAACTGAAATAATAATATTAGGCCTATGTGTAGTTCTGCTGGTTAAAATGCTAAATTTTGTATAGACTTGGAATGACTTTAAATACGTCTTGGTTGTTGACTTACAAGTGATGACATCAGAATATAATAATTCATAATTCTTAAGTTAAATTATTATGTTTGAGACATATGCTCGTCATTTGTCATTATCAGATTCTCGCTTGCATCATATTCAACATTATATAGGCTAGAGTAGTTATACTGACCCTGTAAACATTTATTTTCATGCACCACACTTTGTGTTTGTGATGAAAGAAAAATCATAATCGTAATCATAACCATCTATAATGTGATATGATCATTTAAATGATGTGCACGGTTTTGGTTTCACTTACGCTGCCGGGTGTGACTCACGTCATGGCTGCCGTCACTTTGAAGTCAGTTTGCAACAAACTATACATTATTTGCAACTTTATTACCTGTTATTCACAGCCTTTTCAGGTTCTGTTCACTAAAGCAGACATTGGCAAGAGGGTGCGCGTCCTCATGGTAGTAAACAAAAAGTGCGTGTGATTCACAGCTGACATGTGATTTCGCGGCTGCGAAAATGTCATTACATGACGACAGAAATTACATTTTACGTGAATTATACCTCATAAATACAGTATGTGACACTTTCAACACCAGTTGGAGGTGACCTTGTTGCTGAGCAACATTTATCAAACAATGTGAAGACTTGTGCGACTGCCTTTCTCCTGACTGTGAAAATATAATTGGCTGTATCCTAAAAAAGTCGAATTAAGATTATGTGTAGGGTCGAATCAAGTTCGCGATCATTTTTCTAATAATCGTGCTCGTGCAGCCCTAGCAGTAATGTTAATTGTCTTAGTCCCCTGTTGCCATTTCTGTATTTTATTATGGTATCTTTCAACTGCTTTTCATTTTTTTTTTTTTTTTTTTTTTACAGATGTACACAGTAAGTCAGGAAGGCACTTTATGTATATGGGAAAGTGACACTGATCTAGAAGGCTTACGAAAGGGCCCAAAATACGCTGAGAGAAAGGAAAAGGAGCAGAAAAAACTGAGAGTTTTAGAAATGGAGGAAGATGAAGCTAATGACATTGAGATTATGGGGGAGGATGGAGAGACCAGAGGAGATGTCATCAAAGGAAGTGCCGAAACACCTGAAGAAGTGGAAGGCATAAAAAATGTTCGTTATTTACAGAAAAGCAAGTGAGTATGTTTTGATTTATCCTAATCTCTTCAATCTATGGATCTGTTCTCAAGATTTGTTCACACCATGGTAAATATTTGCGGCAAAAATGTGCAACTTTCCTTTTTTAATTTTTTTTTTTTATCAGGGCTTAATTTTTCCCAATTATTTAAAATGGAAAGTTTCTGAAGCCTTTTTGAAAAGATATTAGAATTTTCTAGGTCAGAGGTCCTCAGCCCTACTTCTGGCGACCCCTCTTTCAAAATTCAATCTACAACATTCTTCAACATACTTGTCTGTATATTTTTAAATTATACTGAAGAGTTTGATATAAATTTATATTAATGGTGCTTCAATACAACTAATAATATTCAGCAGAGGTAAAACCTGTGAACAAGATATGCTTAGAAAATGTGCCATGCGAGCAGTCACCTTTAATAGCCCGTTTCCACTGAGTGGTACAGTATGCTTTTATGGCTGTTTCCACTTTCAAAGGGTACCTAAAAGTGAACCGTACCATACCACTTTTTGATCACCCTTTGCAATGGGTACCAACAGGCCCAAAGGGTACCATAAGGTGGATTTAGACAAAAAAAAACAGCAGCAAATGATGCTTCTGCAACCTAAAATGGAAACGAACTGCCATATTTAACTATTATCAACACCTTATGAATTCGGAAAGATGGAATTACTTTCTAACAAGAGGTTACATGTGCTGCTGAAGATTAAAGAAACAGATGAGAGGTTTGCTCTGACTGTGGGCAACATTTCGTGTACGTATTTTTTGAACCCAAATAAGGTATTTTTTATTTATTTTTTGTTAAAATAAAGATCACGATTCTCTCATGATTCTGTAGATGTAAAATAAAGGTATGGTAAAAACAAACATAAGGCAACATCGATAATAATATTGTGTGTAGGTCTACTGGTTTCTATAAATAATTCTATTCTACTTATAATAATTCTGATGTTGAATTATTATGTTTAAGATATGCTTGCAATCTGTCATATTAGACAATTTTATTCACAGGTAAAATTTATTTTTATTTTTAATACAGACATTTGCCATTATCAGATTATATTCAACAATATATAGGCTAGAGTAGTTATACTGAAACTAAACATTTATTTTCATGCACAACTGTGTGTTCGCTATAAAAGAAAAAAATATCAAATGCTTGCCGTAATCATAACTCTAAAATGCGATATGATCATTTAAATGAAGTGCACACTTTCAGTTTCATTTTGACTGCTAAGTGCTGTTCATACTTCGCGCGCGGCTCCCAAACAATCACTCTGTGCCACAAACTGAATATTATTTACAACTGTATTACCTATTACTCGCAACATATGCAGGTTCTGATCACTTAAATAAACGCGCGCGCGTCTATCATTAAGTAGAAAGCGCGCGCGCTCACGGTCAGCAGCTCACGTTACGTGTGATTTCCCAGCCGCGAAAACATCATTATATGAAGACAGAAATGACATTTTAAGGTGAATTATACCTTATAAATACAGTATGTGACTCATTCAACATCATTTGGAGGTGTCAATGTCACTGAGCAGCAACGTGTGTGAAACAATGAAAAGACTCGTGCAGCCGCCTTTTCTTCTCTTCTTAACTTGAAAATATGATTGGCGGAATCCTAGAAAAGCTGGATTAAGATCGTCTAGAGGGGTCGAATCGAGATTGCGATCTTTTAACGATTAATTGTGCAGCTCTATTCCTGAGCACCATCATCTCTCAGGATCTGAAGTGGGACATTCAAATAGATTATTGTAAAGAAAACCCAGTAGAGACTGTTCTTCCTTCGTCAGCTGAGGAAGTTCAACCTGCCACAGGAGCTGCTCGTACAGTTCTGCTCAGCTGTCATCCAATGCATCCTCTGCACTTCAATCACCGCCTGGTTCAGCGCAGTTGCCAAAAGTGATCTCCATAGGCTACAGCGAATAGTCCGGTCTGCTAAACAAATCACTGGCACCACCCTTCCTACACTATAAAAACTGTACTTTTCCAAAGTGAGAAAAAGAGCTCACAAAATCACTCTGGACACCTCGTACCCAGTACACTTCCTGTTTGAACTGTTACTGTGTGGTCGGCGCTACAGAGCACCAAGTACAAAAACAGCCTGACACAGAAAACGTTTCTTTCCTCAGGCCATCAACCTCATGAACAGTTAATATTCCCCTACTGCATTTGTAAACAGCACCTTATAACCTGTATACAACAAATCTGTACATACAATTCAACATCCAGATCTTTTTGACTAACTACATCTCTGTTTAATGTTTATTCATTTTCATACTTATTTCCTTGTTGTCACTTGTCACTTTATGCACCCTGAAAGCTTCTGTACCCAAAACAAATTTCTTGTGTGTGAAGCACACTTGGCAATAAAATTGATTCTGATAATTTTATCATGGAGCAAGAACAATCGCGATGAAGTGCAGAGGTTCCGAATGAATAGGCACACCACAGACATGTTGCTTCACATTAATATGTGCAAGCCGTGGTTTCTGTGTGGTCGTCACAACATACTGTTTCAGCTGTGCTGTTTCAATGATACAAATCATTCAGGCGAAAACTGAAAATGCACTTTTGGCCCTTTTTTTTTTTGGGTCCACTTTTGGCCGAATATTAGATGCATCCATAATTATTTCCATATTATTCATAAGTTTTTGGAACAGAAAATTCAGACATTTTTTTGTACCAAATATCCCTGTTGGTGTGAACAAGCCATTAGACTGGTTATAAAACATGTTAAAATTATATTCAAATATATGTTTCTAATTTTGTATTTAAACAGATACTATTTTAACAAAGAAGGGGATTTCAACAAACTGACAGCTGCCGCCTTTCACAAGAGAACACACATACTTGTGACAGGGTTTGCATCTGGAGCTTTTCACCTGCATGAATTGCCAGGTTTTGACCTCATTCACTCACTCAGGTTTGCCCTACATTATAATTGAATACTGTATTTGTTAAATAACTGCAGTAGGGATGGTGTCCATTTTTAGATGTCAATTCAATTTGATTCTTTTATTGGGCATATTTAAATTATAATGCCCATCAAAGCATATCAAACTTTTATTTCAAAGTAGTTTTGCTGAATTTAAATAATTTCCTTAAATCTTCTCTGAATAAATGCAAGTAAACTTTCATTTTCATCAACTCCCTTGAGGAGGTATAAAGAGATTTTAGTTATTCATTGAAAGTATAGTTTTTTCATAAATCAGTCTTTGCTATTCAAACAGTTATTAAATGAAGCTCACAAACACAACTCAATGGAAATATATAATTCTTCATATGTAATAAATCATTTAAAAGAATTTTTTGCAAATATTATTTTTATCATGTTTACTTCGGTAAAAGAAAGGCACTGATATTTAATGAATAATCAATATTTTCAACATCAAAATAATAGGTTTTCACAAAGGATTTATATCCCAATTACAGGAGGGATTTTATTTGCCACCATGGAGATATGAGATGTACGCTCCACTACCAACAAAGCAACCTTTTCTATTAGGAGAGTCAAGCTTAAATAGGAAAATTATTGAAACTCTTTGGTCATTTTAAAGTGAGATCCTAATGGTCTAAACCAATTCAATGATAATAAGATAAAGCTTAACTGAAAATGCCCCTGCCAGAAACGGCTGATTTGAATGGTTAAAGGTGCAGTAGGAGATCTGGATTAAAGCCAACCATAGCATAATAGCATTTGAAAATTTATAACACTACATCATGTCATTTTATAGTTAGAAAACTTTATAGTATAATTCCTAACTTAAAAACCTTTTTGAAATCCTCTATTACGTCTAGCTCATTTTCAGTAGTTTAGCAAGCAAAATTTGTCATAATATACAATATTTCATGCATGCAGATATTGCTGGTCATTGCTGACGTCTTTATGGAAACATAAGCTTTGTCCAACATAAGTGTAGTGCTTGGCACAGGCCAGTGGGGTGCAGGAATAATATTTATTTCTGCCAGTTCTCCCAAAGCTGGCATTGGGGTAAAGTTGGTTTTATATTCACACATTACTATTTTCTCCTAATAATATAATTTTAGAAAAGTATTGTTTGCAAAATTTAAATAGGTAAATTGTATTAGCAGCCAACAGCTATTTAAAAAAGTACACCATTTTTCAGAGTCAATTAAATAGTTTTAATGTTGTTTTTAAGTCATACTTGCATACTATTTCAGACCGAATATTGAAAGTGGTAAAGAACATAGGAAGTGTGTCAGAAGTGATCACTGTTCAAAAAAGAACAAATGTGCAAATATAAAACCAACTGTACCTCTGTAAATCAGGCTTGTTATTTACTTGTGTTTTGTTTTCAACTAAATAAAAAATTTTTTAAAAAGTTCTATAACAGAAATACCTTGTCATCTTTTTACATTTAGGACAACAAGTGACACTATTGTTTTGGCTGCTCACTGCTCCTCACAGAGCTTGTTTAAAGAGCCTTTTATCTTGTTTTACACTTAAACAAATAAATGAAGGCTTAGGTCTTTTTAGCTGACTATATTTTAATTAAATTAAATTATCGTTGACATAAAAGGTACCTTATGAAATTCTTTTGCAAGATGTTTTCAGTAGTTGAACGACACTTTCATGCATATTGCCCATTTGTAAAAGAACAATCTACATAAGCGTTGCATAACTAAAATAGTTTAAAAACATTCATACCTTTCAAAAAAAAAATACTTCTTTCATGGCATCATCCTTCAGACCACATAGCTGATATGTAATAATAACATTATACATTAACTTAATAACAAATGTCAATACAAGACATCTACCTATATTTTATCACATGAACAATAATGTCTCAATCCTAAATACAAAATAAGAAGTATTTTGACCTCCATCTAAAAAAAAAACTGTAGATTTACTCTCTAAATATACATTTATGCCATTTAATATTTAGGTTTTTTATTCATTTGTGTTCTTGCTACCAATTAAAAATGATAAATATCTTATATTTGAGCTGTACACCTTTGGTTGAATTGACACAAATGACCCAGTTCTTATTTAATTAAGTCTCTTGACCTTTTGTTATTTGTTGCTATAATGCTGTGGCTGTATTTCTATGCTGTTTAATGAATATCATGTTTAGCATTTCAGATCAGAGGATTTCGGCCATTTCTCTGAATCCCACTGGTGACTGGATTAGCTTTGGCTGCTCAGGTGTTGATCTCAAAGTTTTTTTTCCCCTCAGAGTACTGTTTTATACTGTTTCTTAATTCTTTGCTTCTGTCCTGTGTTAGGTCTGGGCCAGCTGTTGGTTTGGGAATGGCAGAGCGAGTCCTATGTGTTTAAACAGCAAGGACACTTTAACAACATGAACTCTTTGGCTTATTCACCTGATGGTCAGTATCTTGCTACTGGAGGGGATGATGGCAAGGTGAGTCCTCTAACTCTATAATTTTATTAAGGAAATAAATACATTTTTTTGATGCTTAGGGTGCACATTCTCACACTTAGTCAAGTTGCTTAGTTTCATGAAGAAACCAAGAAGAGTTTGATTCATGTGTTTTTTTTTTTCTTTTCCATACAAGTAGATGTCTCTACCGTATGTGTGTATTTGTGCATTTTTACTGATTTGGGTACACTTTCGCAGTATGTGGGACATTTAGAAAACATTGTTCACATAATTGATACAGACTAGTCTATGAAATCAAATGAACCTAGATGCATTGCAGACCAAAAATTCTAGTGTGGTTGTCCTCCCCAAGTAAAACGGTTGCTTTCCAGGTGAAGGTGTGGAACACCAACAGTGGTCTCTGTTTTGTGACATTCACCGAGCACTCCAGCGGTGTCACCGAAGTTGCCTTTACCTCCAGTGGTTTCGTGGTGGTCAGTGCCTCACTAGATGGCACTGTTAGAGCTTTTGACCTGCACAGGTATCTAACTAAAGCACCAAGCAGTATTTGCTTTTTGGGCTTAGGAATGTTGTTTTCCTGAAAAGGCAAAAAATAATCTTCAGTTGCTATTAATTGTTTTTTCAAATAATATGATTTTTGCTTTTAAGTGAACTAAATCAATAACTTGCTTGTCTCTAGGTTATTTATCTTACTTTTAGGTGTGGCATAACTTAAATATTTTGGTGTGTGAATAAAAAAAAAAAAACAAATGGCAATTTAAAATTTCCAGTGCATATCCTGCATGACCAAAGTTTTTTCTCAGGTACCGGAATTTCCGTACCATGACGTCACCACGACCCGCCCAGTTCTCCTCTCTGGCAGTGGACGGTAGTGGGGAATTGGTGTGTGCTGGTTCTCAGGACTCTTTTGAGATCTTTCTGTGGTCTATGCAGACTGGACGACTGTTAGAGGTCAGACCACTGAATTGGTGTTTTCTTTTCTTATCTGAAGAAAATGCATGTCAGTTTTATTTCCACACAGTTGTCAATTTATTTTAATAGAACATGGGGAAAATGGCTTACTAGAAATTATGAACTCTTTATATAGTTTAGGATGATATGTTTTAAAGGGCCATGAAACCCCCTCGTTTCAGCAGGGTGTTTTCACACCTCTACTTTGGAAAAAGTCAGAAAAGTGGGCGTGTTCAGCTCTGTTTAGGGGGGAGTGTCGGAGAAAGAAAAGAGGCTTGGTGTGGGAGTGTCTATTTGGCCGCGCTGAATTTCAGAGTCAAAACAACCACAGCGGACAAAGTGACTGTGTTTACATGGACATTTGTAGTCGAATTATTTGCCAAATTATTAAATGGTGGACTTTAACTGCAGTTTGGCTCTTTCATTCAGGGAATTCATACATGTCCCTCGCGACAAACGTGATATTTGATTCGAGGAACAGCTCTAAGCGTGTATTTTCATGCAATGTTTGATACCGCACGGCGAATGAGAGAAAAAAAACTCAGCATTTCCCGGAAACTTAGATGCACACGGCAGGTAGCGTCAGAAAGCCGCGTGTGTTATTCCGATCACAAAATCCTACACAAGGTTTGGTTGTAGTGCTAACTTGTTTGCACTCGGTGCAATAGTTTGTTTGATACGAATAAAATACGAACTGAATAAACAAAGAGCACTGGTTGCTCACTTACCAAATCTGTAGAGACAGGACAATCACCAGCAACTAGAGCGTCTTTATTAAGAGGAGACTACAAGCGAATCCGGATCTCAGCGTTTGCAGATGAGAACAGCTCTCAGGTAAACAATAATCCTCCTTTGACACGTAAGTTATTGTTGTCGAGCGTCGCGTACACTGTTAATCCACACGTGACGCCAGCTGCACTCTCACAGAGAGAAAATGAAAACAAAACTTAATGGCAGCAAACTCTAAAAGCAACACTTCACGCTTGTTTTGCCAACACAACGTGGCGTCTCTGTCGTATAAACACTATGACAGTAATGAATATTAATGAAGTTGCACAATAGAGCACGCTGATTGGTTTAAATCAAGCCTTACTCATGCATTAATGCATGACACTGTAAGACGTAATAAGACACACTCTGGCACAGAAGTCCAGTCTGCACGCTGGAATACAACGCTATTATGTCATGACCGTGACGCAGCTTCAATAATTAGTTTCAAACCGGAAGTACGAATTTGCTTGAAATAACGCAAAAACAACAAATTTACACTTTTTAGGGAAATATAGGTGTCCTAATAGTGTTTTTAGCAGTGTGGGACACATATATGACTGTCAACAGCTCAAAAAATGTGTTTTGGTGTTTCGTGACCCTTTAATGATGCTCCGATTGATCGGCCGCCGATTACGATCGGCCGATTTTGGCTAAAAATAGCTTGATCAGCTAACCCCAAAAGCGCGGATCAAAAAAGCCGATGACCTGACGTAAATTACTCGCACAACTTTTTCACACTTGCATGCACGGCGCACGGATAAACACCAGCAGAGAGGAGCTTATCAGTTGCAACATGAGTTCCCCCGTCTTTTTCAAAGTGTCCAATAAAGACGTAAAGTTAGCCGTTTACAATGTATGTTGTGATAAAACCCCTTGAGCAAGCAACGGCATTTTAACAGCACTAACATGATTAGGCATCTTAGAACATGCCATACAACTAAATATGCCGCTTATGAGAATCTCTCAACCAGCCGACTGTGAGTGATGGAAGACGTAAACCATACAGCAGGGATAGTACCAAGGTGGAAAGACATCGCGTTCAGAATTATGAAACTAATTTGCCTCTATGAACAACCTGTGATTATATGGAGTGCAGACACCTGTCCAATGTCCCTGCTAAGCTTAACAGCACACTTTATTGACTCAAACTTCGAAAGACACAACATTGTGCTACACTGTCAAGCTTTCACGTGGTCACATTCTGCGGAGGCGTTAGTGAACGCATTTAGCAGCATATTTAAGTCACGATGAGTAAAGAATTTCAAATTATAACTAAATATTAATAAGACCATAAAATCATAATGTAGTCAGAGTATACAGGCTAATGCTGGCATTATTCTTTTATTGTTCAGCTTCAATATCGCCTTATTGTAAAGAGAAGTGATAAAACAAATCCCACAGAGCCTTTATCTTTATTTCGTTACAGCTAAATACCCGTCATCATTTATCATTTATTTTAATTAATTTGCTAAGAAAGACTTTTATTTTTATTGGTGTGTTGGCCAATTTAAAGGCTAAGTGTATTTACCTAGGCCTATTTAGAGTGTTGAGTTGTTAAGATGTTGCAGAGGGCTTTTTTTTTTTTTTTTTCTTCCAACTTGGCCTGTTGCCTATATTATGAATAAGTACTGTTAACGCATATAAACGACTCATTCATGAAAAAAAGACAAAAGAGCTGTGTGCATGTGCACATTTGAAAAATGTCAGGCTATAAACGGGTTTCGGGCTTTTTAAAAGCTGTCAATCAAAATCTACTTGACGGGTTCGAGACACCCAAAAGGCAAGTACTGTGGGTTATCCATAATGTGGTGAGGCACAATTTATTTAAATCTAACGAGAACATTAAATTGAGTAGCCTTTTCCAAAGAAATTATCACATTTTTGGGTCTTAAATGATATTTGTTGAGGTCTTAAAAAGTTTTAAAAAGTATTAAATTTTACTTTTAAAATGACACAAGAACCCTGTTTAAATACAACTCTCTTGATCTCTAAAGGGGAAAAAGGCCCAAAAGAAATTTGACTTTAAATTAATTTTAGCAGAGACGCAACTGCATTTTCACATTCATTTTTCAGTTAGGGATTAGGTCTGCGCGACTCCACCGAGCAAACACACCGAAAAAGCACTTAAGTACGTAACTTATTTATTTTACATTATCTTTGCACTCATTATTGTTTTCATTGCACTTTTATTATGTGTTTACTAATTCCTGTTGTTACTAACTCTCGCAAAGCACGGGAGGTATGCTGCAGGCGTAATCCTCACAACCTTCGTGCAATACAGATATCTGCTATTTCACAATTCTCTCTTTCCATGGGCCTCTGGAATTGTCAATCTGCTGTTAACAAGACAGATTTTATTACCTCCATAGCTACACATTCTGACAATATTCTCATGGCTCTAACTAAGACCTGGTTGAGACCGGAGGACACTGCTACACATGCAGCTCTTTCTGCTAATTTCTCTTTTTCCCCACACTCCTCATCAGACAGGGAGAGGGGGTGGGACAGGACTACTGATTTCCAAAGAATGGAAATTTACTCAGAGACCGTCCCTGGCAAAGATCAGCTCCTTTGAATTCCATGCAGTCACCATTGTCCACCCCTTCTACATAAATGTGGCTAACATCTACCACCCACCCGGTACATTAGGTCACTTCTGAGATAAACTGGATGTTCTTTTCTCATCATTTTCTGATTATGACACTCCCTTGTTGGTGCTAGGTGACTTCAACATCCACATTGAAAGACCACAAGCTACTGACTTCCTGACTCAGCTTGCCTCTTTTGACCTCAAAAGAGCACCTACTTCTGCTACTCACAAATCAGGTAATCAGCTGGACCTTATTTACACTCGACATTGCACCGTTGACCAAACACTAGTAACTCCACTATACACATCGGATCATTTCCTTCTGTCTCTCAAAATCCACATTACTCCAGAGCCGCCACACACTTCAACACTAGTTGCCTTTCGCAGAAACCTACACTCTCTCTCACCCAATAGACTATCTACCATTGTTTCAGACTCTCTTCCTCCTCCTTGCAAAATCTCTACACTTGATACGAATAGTGCCACTGACACTCTGCTCCACACTAGTATCATGTCTAGACAGACTTATGTCCTCTTACATACAGGCCAGCCCGTGCCAGTCGTGCTGCACCCTGGCTCTCTGATGTTCTCCCTCAAAACTTCGGGCTGCAGAAAGAATTTGGCGAAAAACTAAAAATCCTTCATACCTCATACCAAACACTTCTGTCATCTATTTCGACTGATGTTACTTCTGCAAAACAGACATACTTTTGTCAGAAAATCAACAATGCCACCAATCCTCACTTACTTTTTAAAACATTTTCCTCCCTCCTCTATCCTCCTCCTCCACCCTCATCGTCCACACTTACTACTGATGACTTTGCTACTTTCTTTTGCATCAAAACTGCAAAAATCAGTGCTCAATTTACTGCACCTACAACAAACAGGCAAGATACACCACCATCACCACACACACTCATCTCTTTTTTTCAGCACGAGTTTGGTCACCTCTGACTCAGAGAGCTATCTACCCATACACCCACCTACACCCACCTGTCCGCTTGATCCCATTCCCACTTATCAATTGCAAGCCATTTCTCCTGCAGTCATACCAACACTGACTCACATAATTAACACATCTCTTGACTCTGGTTTATTCCCCACTTTATTTAAGAAGGCTAGGGTAACCCCACTGCTAAAGAAACCCAACCTGGATCAAACGCTACTTGAAAACTACAGACCAGTATCCCTGCTTCCATTCATGGCCAAGATTGTGGAGAAAGTTGTGTTCAATTAAGTCCTAAACTTTCTTACTCAAAACAACCTCAAGGACAACAAGCAATTTGGCTTTAAGAAAGGCCACTCAACTGAGACTGCCCTGCTCTCGGTCGTGGATGATCTCAGACTGGCTAAAGCAGACTCTAAATCATCAGTCCTCATCTTGCTGGATTTGTCAGCTGCTTGAGTCACTAGGCGTTGCAGGCACGATTATTTAGTGGTTCAGATCTTAGCTCTCTAGCAGGTCATTCAGGGTGTCTTGGAGAGGTGTCCAACCTACAGCATCTAAACACTGGGGTACTACAGGGCTCTGTTCTTGGGCCACTACTCTTCTCCATCTACACAACATCTTTAGGATCAGTCATCCAGAAACATTTATTTTCCTACCACTTCTATGCTGATGATACCCAGCTATACCCTATTTTTCATCTTGATGATCCCTCGGTTACGGCTCGCATCTCAGCCTGCCTGTCAGACATTTCACACTGGATGAGAGATCATCTTCAGCATAACCTCACGAAAACAGAAATGCTTGAAGTTTCTGCCAACCCGACTCTACATCATAACTTTTCAATCCAGATGGATGGGGCAACCGTTACTGCATCCAAAATGCTGAAAAGCCTTGGAGTAACGATTGTTGACCAACTAAACTTCTCTGACCACATTTTTTGAACTGCTCGATTGTGCAGATTCGCACTCTATAACATCAGAAAGGTCTAACCATTCCTATCTGAATATGCAGCTCAATTCCTTGTTCAAGCTCTTGTTCTCTCCAGACTGGACTATTGCAACTCTCTACTAGCCAGATTTATATTCCCTCCAGAAACTTGCGTTCTGTGAATGAACGTTGCCTAGTGGTTCCATCCCAAAGAGGGAAGAAATCACTTTTCCAAACTCTCGCGCTCAATCTGCCCAGTTGGTGGAATGAAATCCCTAACTGCATCCGAACGGCAGAGTCACTCGCTGTCTTCAAAAAACGACTAAAAACTCAACTATTTAGTCTCCACTTTCCTTACTAATCTCCAATTCCCTCTCTGGCTCCTCCACTAACTACCACAAAAAAAAATGTGTAATGTTTTGCTTCTTACACCTTCTTTACATACCTGAAACTTGCCTATAGCTCTTATTCATTGTTGCTCTTGTAGTTGCGTAAATTGCTCCCTTGTCCTCATTTGTAAGTTGCTTTGGATAAAAGCATCTGCTAAATGACTAAATGTAAATATCGAGTAACCTAAAAAAATGTTTTGTTGGACACTGCAAAGTAGTCTACACTATAATTAATATTATAATTTATTATTTTCATTATTATTAAAAATAAACTATAAAATTGATAAAACGCAAAACCCTTTTTAATGTTTGCTTTCATTTTGACATCGCTAACAGTTGTAATAAGAAACATCCCAGCAGCAGTCTTAAATTATGAGACTTAAATGCCTTTTGAGTCTAAAGATGATCAGCCTGCGAATCAAGTTTACAGTGTCATAAATGAAATGGGTATAATGCATGAGTAAAGGGGATTTGCCGCATCAACCTCTCAAATGCGATGCATGTAGGCTGAATAATATTCTTTAAAAAATATGCAATATAAAACTGAAATAAAACGGAAAGAAATAAGGAGTAAAATATAATTTAAACCACTGGTCTGGCGCTGATATTTTATTGTTTGTAGCGAGACGAAAGAAAAAAAAAAAACAGATGAAAACTTGGCTTGGGAGACGGCAAGGATTTTCTGTTATTCAGAAAAGATTGTAGACACGACATTGTGAAGGTGTTTATCATACAACGCAGTTTGTGTTTGTGATCATTAATAGTAATAATATTAATATTATTAACTCTTCTCTCTCTTTGTTTTAGGGTATGTTCTTGTCAACGCAATAGATTTATTGCATGTATGAATCAGATTATGAAGAATGATTAAGACAAAGAGCATACATTTTTTTATTACATCCTTTTCGCAAGTTATTTATCTATTTATTTAAGTGGAGAGAACATTAATCACTGGAAAAAATTTTCCTCCCGTACAACCAAGAAATAAAGTAGCATACCTAAGATAATTTACCTTTTATGTAAAAATTAAGGAATAACTTATAACTTAATTAAATATTCATCAAAACATCCGTACAAACCTACGCGTTAATTTTGAACTTTTGTTAATAAAACAACACAATACTGCTTTTAAATATTGTAGTTTAATATTAAATAACTTTAACTGACCGTATAATAATAATTAAGCTTTACATTTTTAAGAACTTTACAAATAGCCTAAATGGCACTTTATTAATCGGGAATAGTATAAATAGTAATAATTATAAGAAGTACAAAAATATTAGCTTGCTAGTTACAAAGTCAGATGTTTTAAAAAAAAAGCGTTGGTTCTCTCCACCTTTTGTTTTCTATTCATATTTTAAATTCTTTGTCAGAAAAACGAACTTGTTGACTTTGTTCGTTTTATGTGAAGACCTAATTGGGATTATAATGTTTCCAGCAATACATGTTCAAACTGTGTGCTTGTAGCGCAAATGCACAGATACTGTTTCTTGCTTCTGTCCTGCTGCCCGCATTTCTCGGAAAGCAGGTTTCTCTACACTGCGAAGCGGCGCGTTCTTAACTTACCAAATATGTTGCTCCATTTCTCATCAATGTCTTCTATTTATCACTTTCTCTTTTGTATCTGGCCATTTCTGGAAATGCCTCTGTGATATCTGACTGACTAGCTGGGCTTTTGCGTTTATAAGACAGGAGTTAATTATAGGCTGATTTTTTTCCCTCACTGCCATCAATCGCCACTAGCTTGCATGGTTCGGGACCTGTGGAGCTGCGCATCGATGGATTTGCTCTTAAATGTTTGGACTCTAAGCAGTGAATATTAAACCACAATTTAACACTTTAAAAAAAACCTACAAAAAGCTTAATTAAATAATTGATTCACCTGTCTCGGTCAGCATGAATCCAAGATATTCCCACATGTAAGATTTCGTTTTCTAACAAGATTCATGGTTGAACTTGCTGAATTGCGCCTAATGTTATATTCTAACAGAAATGTAGCCTAATACTTGGCAACATAACGGTAATTTGTGTTTTAAAGTGCGTGACGTCACATACTACAGCCGGTGGCAATGGACCTAATGGCAACTGACCACCGCGGTCACACGGTTGTCATGGTGACTGTCACAGCCCTAATTGAATGGCCATTCCCCTGCCATTCTGTGATTGGCAGTGATCTGCAATCGGCAGATCATGATTTCGGCGATCGGTAATCGGTGATTGGCCCAAAAAATGCTGATCGGAGCATCTCTAATGTTTAAGTTCACTAGACATTTTTATTAGTTTTTTTTATGTACTTTTATAACACTGTGTTATCTTACATTGGTTATTATTTTGCTAATTAATGTAATAATGGCCTTGAAATTGAACTTTTGGGTATATAATAGGAGTGTATAATGGCCTGTTTTAATTTGAGTTTCTAGCCTTTTGTATTTCTACTAACACTTTAGTCTAGTTGAGTTTGTCAATAAAATCTCTCAGTATTCCCATCATGGCAAATGTTATGCGCGTATCTTAGCAAACAACATATATTACTAACCTTATAAACCACACATTTAACTTTGAAAAAATTTTATCCATCAGATCCTGTAGACCTGTAAGTACAGTTTACTGATACGAGATCACAGTGTTCTAATTATTATGAATGAATTATTTTTTAAAGTTTAGGGAATCAAATGTGATCTATAATAAAATTCACATACACCTATTTCTTAGGACTGGTCCACCCAAATTGAAGAAAATCGTGTAGTCACCGTGTAGTAGACACTGCATGTGCTGTGTGTCCGTGGACATGTAATGACAGAATTTACTGCAAACACATTGTTTAAAGAGTAAAAAGAAAAGCCTACAATAGTGGCATGTGGGTGTCTGTGCTCAGTGGAGTCATGCTGCTTGAGTTGAATGTCTTTACTCTTATTGGTCTTCAGAAGAGGAGAATGGACACTGCTGATATCTAATTATTTATACTGCTAATTCCTATTCTAGTGAGGGGAGCTAGTCACCTCCTTTCCTAATTATCCAAATAAAGTCTTCTGCACGCATATCAAAACCTTCTAAATTTATTAATCCTTCCTCTGACTCAGTTTACACCCCTGACTAAAACTGCAAAGTGCAGATAACCTTGTAATTAACATTCAAAGACAATTTTACCCTAGAGAAAACAAATATATTCTTTAAGAAAAAAATGTATGAAAGCAAAACCAACAGATGCTTAATATAATAAAACACTTATGCTGTACAGCTCATGCTGGAGATACAGAGCAGTAGTATTTAACTACATCAAAGAAATAAAAAAAACTTCAAATAAACAAAACAACATTGAACCACTGTGCCACTGTGAGCCCTGCAATATATTTTAACAATATTGGTGGCATTTTCTTTGCTTATTTTCTTCCTTCTGTTTTTGATATTGTAAAACAGCTTTTCACCTTGACGAATCATCATATTTTAATATGTCTTGGGTTTTCTGTTTAACCTAGGTTTTTTGATGCACTATTAATGTTTTTGTACCAACTATTGTGCTTTTTATTTCCTTTACTCATTTCTGATGGAACAGGTGCTTAGTGGTCATGAGGGTCCTGTCAGTAACTTGTGCTTCAGTCCAGTCCAGTCTGTTCTTGCTAGTGTGTCATGGGACAAAACTGTCCGGCTATGGGACATGTTGGACAGCTGGCAGACCAAAGAGACGTTGCAACTCACCTCTGATGGCAAGTTTACAAAATGTTTGTTTATGTGAAAGTGGAATGGAAAGAAATTTATGTGATTTTTTTTTTTTTTTTTTTAAATATATCTTGCACCTGTTCATATTTAGGGCTTGCTGTAACATATCATCCTAATGGTATGGAGTTAGCAGTTGCTTCTCTGGATGGTGAAATCACATTCTGGAACCCTCAGACTGGAAGACAGACTGGCTCTATCACTGGCCGCCATGACCTGCAAATGGGACGCAAAGAGTCTGAAAAGATCACTGCTAAACAATCTGCCAAGGGAAAGTAAGCAGACATTTTGTAAATAGACTATAAACTTCTATTCTTTTTAACATAAGATTCAAAGCACAAACACATCATTTTGTCCCCCTAAACCAGGGATGGGCGACTCTTTGAGAGCCAAGCTTTAGCTCCAATCCTAATCAAACACACCTGACTATAGCTTACTAGTGATCCTGAATACACTGTTTAGATTGTTCAGGTGTGTTTGATTAATGTTGGAGCAAAACTCTGCTGCCATCCCTGCCCTAAACCGACCAACAGTTGTAGCCAGAATTATTAGCCCCCAACACCCCATAAAAAAAATAAACACGGGGGCTAATAATTCTGACTTCAACTGTAACTGGAAAAGAATATATGAACCTATCAGTTTACAATATACTGATGCCCAATTTCTAGGCTTTATTGGTCATAATGGTCAAGAATGTTGGACCATCATTGCCTTTACAGCTTATCAGTAAAGGACAGAATCTAGCCAGACAGTAATGTGTAAATTGTTGGGTAAGCAAAATAATAAATAGAAAGCCTCAGTATTTTTAGTAAGTGTACTTTTTTTTGCTTTCATTCTTACCATAATAAAAAAT